AAAGGAAAGGAAAGGAAAGGAAAGGAAAGGAAAGGAAAGGAAAGGAAAGGAAAGGAAAGGAAAGGAAAGGAAAGGAAAGGAAAGGAAAGGGAAAAGGGAGGGAAAGGGAAAAGGGAGGGAAAGGGAAAGATTGAGATGTAAAGATGAAGCAGGGACAGAGTGGGACCCTAAAGCCATGGAGAGGAAATCTACCATGTGCCCTAGACAATTCTAGGTAGTCCTTCCCTGTCTGTGGCAGCCCAGCCCGTTCAGGTTCTCTTCTGTCAGCTGTGAGGTGTTTGTAGCTCGGTGGCATCAGTCAGATGTGTTCAGGAGCAGTCACTAAACTAGTCTGGCAAAACTGGCTGCACTGCTGAAAGATCAAAATGATCACCAGAATGGTTTGTAAAGAAGAGGAAAAAAGGCAAGGGACGTGCTCTGGAGTGCTGAGGCACTGGGTGGGTAGATCTGTTCTGTGGTGGGGAGTGGAGGGCATGCACTTTGTCTCGACAGACACAGCAGGTGTGGGGCGCGTTTTGGGGAGGTGAAGTGCATTTTGCCGTGTCCCCCACAGAGTGATGCACGACGAGGTGAGTGACACGGAGAACATCCGGAAGAACCTGGCCATAGAGAGGACCATAGTGGAGGGCTGTGACATACTGCTGGACACCAGCCAAACCTTTATACGCCAAGGTAAGGCGTTCCTCTGCAAAACTGACCCGTAATGATGGAAAAATAAACTGCACTGAAGGCAGCAGGGCTCACACTGCCATCCTCAGGCTGCACACCTGCCAGCATCCTGAGCCTGCCCCTGCTCCCTGCAGGGCGAGTCACAAAAATGCCCTGAAAACTGATTTTGGGGCTGTGGCTGGACCTCAGTTTTGTGCTGTTTTCTTCAGGAGCCATGAAAACCAGCAGCACGTGAGTGGCAAAGCCCCCGTGGGACTTTTCAGTAATTCAGATTCTGCCTGGACTGTGGTCCCAAGGGGATGGAGCAGGGGAAGAGCAGCACTCTTTTCCTTTCTGTCTATTGATGGTAGCTTTGGAAACTTTCTGTTGAAAATTAGTTACAGCAGAGGTGGAATTTGTTGTTAAGTTCCAAAAAAACTATGCTAGAATAACGTTTCCATTTTAAAAAAGGAACAGTTTTTGCCAGGAACTGCAAATTAGTTACAATTCTCTCTTGATGGTGTTTACTTTAACTGCTTCTTTTTCTCACATTTACATAATATTTTACTTGTGGATTTCTTAAAGCAAGTTACTGGGTTTGTACACAGTAACTACAGATCTGTAGTGCAGGATTTGGACAGGTTTTGCTCCTTTGTGCTGAAAAGCATTAGATATACTCAGGAAAGGTTAAGAATATAATTTAGATGCATCCCTTCAAGAAATCTTTTCCAGATAACCTCAGCAGAACATCTGGTATTTGATGGGGGTATATTGCAGGTGATTAATAGGCTTTCTGTACATTTTGAAATGCATTTTGTGCTGCTTCTGTAGTTATATGGCCAAACTATGAAATTTTCTCTAATAACTTCGTTATTTTTACAATACACTAACAATATTGTTTTTACAAATCCTATTAAATTACTTGATTCTTCATTAAATGTATGCATTTGTTATCTCTGAGGTGTTTGAGGAGTTATAAATATGGCTTTAAGAGAAAAACCAAATCGTTTTGCACCCACAACCAAAAAATTCTAATGCTTTGATTATCATAGGTTGACTAATGAAATGTACCATGAAATCTAATTAAACTTCATAATTTTTTCCAAGATTATTACATTATATGATACAAATATGTATTTTTATTTATTGGGGTTTTCCTGTTAAGACTGGGTGATAATGTTTTGTCTGTGTACCCACTGCTTCATCAGTAAAACTTAGATTTTTTTTTTCTGTGGGAATCAGCCTGAACAAATTCCTGTTGGCATGTTAGACCCAGGGCAAACCCTGTAAGAAAATTAAATTCAGATTTATTTCTAGGCACAAAGTCAGAGGATAGTGGACAGGAGTATGTGTTACAGAAGGTTGTATCAGATTATCTGGTGGAACCTCCACTGCCTGTGATTCGTGCAAGGGCAGAAATCTGAATAAAGCAAATGAAGTAATGGAGCCCATTTTCCTTTTACATGTGACAGTGGGGTCACTTTGGCAGTGATGTCCATCTCCTCTGGTTTCAGTTGGGCTGCTGTTTGTTGTGTTGATTAGTGTGGATGGGCACAGGAACCTCTTTTCAGCTTAAAACAGGAAAGAGGTGTCACTACCTTTGTTCAGGCTTTTTTGGCGGATGTTAATTACAAATTTTCTCTGTGTTTCAGACTTTACATTTTTAGGAAGAGAATGTTTCTGTTGAATTGTACATGCTGAGACCACAGGAACTGTCCCTGGCAGTGTTTTGCAATGCAGAGTGTGAATTCTCCTTCGAGTTTCTTGGGGTCTGATTTTTCCTGCCTCTTACTTAGGTAGAGATTTTATAGTCAGGCACACAAACAAGCGAGGAACATTTTCTTTGTGAGGCTAAAGGACACTCAGGTGGTCTCAAATTGGTTGATATCCAAACAGCTGGACACACTTGAGCCCCTCTGGTGCCTTCAAACACTGTGATTGTTTCTGCCATCAGCTGCTGTGAATTTACCTCTGCTGATAAAGATATCATAACCACAAAATCATGCAATAGCTGGGGTTTGGAAGGGACTTTGGAAATCATCAATTCCAGTCTCAAAGCAGCACCAGCTGGAGGAGGAGGTTGCTTTCTGCTGTGTCCAGTCAGTATTTTGTTGTTTCCAAGGACAGAGACTCCATAGCCTCCCTGAATGAGCAACCTCTTCCAGGGTTTAACCCTGGAAGTAAAAACAAACAGCAGGAAAAAAAGGAAAAAAAAAAGCTTAAAAAACCCCCAAACAACAGAAAAGAGTAAAGTAAAAGTCTGGCTTTCCAGCATGGGTAAAGCCAGATTGAGTTGGTAAATCAGATAGCTCAGTGTAGACTTCTGAATGTTTGGGTTTGTTTATAAATACAGCCTTTTATACTCCTTGGATTGAGCCAAGGCAGAGAGTGTGACTGTTGAAGCACTGAAGTGCTGGAAGTGCTTAGGCCTGTGGCTGGATAAAAATTCATGGGATTACACTGTTGTCCAAACTATACTGTTAGTGAATGTTCTAAAATTAGCTTCACTTGCTCATTGCATCTGTACATTGGCCAGTTGTGACCATTTCTCTTCCTTAAGAGGAAATCTGTGCTAGAGCCAATGCCCAGTTTTGTTAACCACTAAAGCCTGAGGAGAATGCCCAAGGTCCTTGCTTGGTGTCAGCCATGCAGAATGTGTAGGAGATGTGCTCCTCTCTGCAAGTTTGAAAGAGAGAAAATGCAGTCTCTGCTTTCTGCTTTTAGAGAGACATTTGCTCTGTTTTATCTTATTAAACAGTATTTCAGGTCTGTGCAAGAACATTGCTTAACCTCTAGCCCATTATGGCAGAACAGAGTTCTGTTAGTCCTGAAAGCATTCTAATGAAAATAAGAACAAATAAATAAACAAAAGTCACCTGTAAACTTACTTCTGTAAGCTTATCATATTTATAGGTACTGTTACTCTGCTAAGCAAAGCAGGAACAAAACGTACAGATTGAATATTGCTACCCTGAACGCATAGATGGAATTTAAGGACTAAAAGTACCCTGGAATTTTGTCTAGGAGTTGTTTTGAACATGCTGGCCTTGCAGTATGGCTTGAGGGACAGTCAGTGTAACATGGAAAAGCCACTGTTCCAACACATGGAAATGATCTGCTCCCTCTCTCCTACAGCTGAGGCAGGTTGGCTGTTTGTCCAGGGGAAATGCACAGCAGCCAATAAATATTTATGGGTTTGGGTCAGAATGTAAGTGAATCTGAAATGTTCCAAATTCCTTTGCAGAATTCTAGAGCACTCCACTGTTCTGTTTTGGTGACACAAGTTATGTTATACACGTTTAGTCTAAATGTGAAATGTCTGCCAGAGAACACTGTTCTCTGGCAGATTTATTGCTGTGTGTTTTCCCATGTCAGTGGAAGCTTACATATTAATAACTTAAGGCTACTCAAATATATAGAGAGAGCTAAGTGTGGAAGAAATGTAGATAAATAGCAGTTTTCTCAGTTACTGCAATTTCTCTGTCAACTTAAGACTGCATATGTGAGCTTTGAGGAGGATAATTCTTTAGACAACACAGAGTAAGAATTGCTAATCTAATATTTAATGGATAATTCTGTCAGGCTGGCATTGTGTCAGGATGCTGCCACTTCTCTGAGCTTTGAAGCAGCTGTGCTAGCTCGTATCTGGAAGAGGCAGGACAAAGCCTTCTCCTCCTGCTCCTTCTGCTGTGCTTTGTGACCTTGCTCCTACCTGGGAGCTTAGCCAGCTGCCTCTTCCCAGCATTATTTTCCTTCTGGTTTAACTGTGTTAGTGATGCTGGAAGAAGACACGAGCCAGTGTAAAGGTAATAGTGAGGAGAGATGTGTGGAAATGAGCCTAGGAGGTCTCTTGGCTGCCCTGTCTGCTAACAGCAAGTTGTATGGCAGAAATCTTTCTGTTTAATCTACAGAGGAGTTGCACTTCACCACCAAATTTAACTCCTGCTCCAAATTTGGAGGTGATACACATGGTGGGATCAATCTGGAAAAGTTGGTCACAGACTGAGATGTGAAACAGCAGAGGAGCAGAGCTGTCCCCAGCCTGGAGCTCTGCAAAGCAGAATTCAGAGTTATGTAAGCAGGTTCAATTTAGTTCGGGAGTGTTTTACTGGTAACACATTTCAGATGAGCTGTGGAGCACTGACAATTATGCAGTACAAAGATAAGAAGAAATGTGCTTCATTTCCATCTCTCTTGCACATGGGCACACACACAAACTCTTTTCCACCAAAAAGAACTTTTTCACGTTCCTTCCATTCTCTGTCTCTTTGGTTTGGAAGTGCCTTGTCTTTTGTTGTGGCTGTCAAAGAGGTGTTTGCTGTTCAGCCACATTTCCTGATCAGTGGCCTCTTAGTGTGTTTAATTGCCTAATCAGCCCTAGATCTAATCCTGCCATGTACACAAGTGTTACTCTAGACTGTACTTGAGTCTGTTTATGATAAGAAACAAAGGGAACTTGTGCAGTAAAAAAGGGATTGACTTGTGCTCAAAGGAGACGTCGATACGCGTTGAAACTGGAATGAAGAGTTGCATTAATTAACAGAACAGCATTCAATGAATTAACAGCTCAAGCACTGCCTACCAAATATTATGTAACACAGCAAATTTTGCACCTTCTTTACCAGGGTCCCTTATCCAGGTCCCCTCAGTTGAGAGGGGAAAGCTGAGTAAAGTTCGCCTGGGCTCGCTGTCTTTGAAGAAAGAAGGAGAGAGGCAATGTTTCTTGTTTACAAAGCACTTCTTAATTTGTACAAGAAGTTCAGGAGGAAAACTGCATCTTCTTAAGGTATGGGGTTCATATCATGATTTCATTTCTGAAATGAAAACACATTTTTTTGTGAAATGTCAGCAGTTTATTGTTTCATGGCTTTCACCTGAATTTTGCTCTAGTGGTTATGAACAAAAGTGGGGTGGTGCACAATGTTTAACTGCTTTTGTCTTTTCATTTCAAATAATAGAATGCAGCCAATTTTCAGTTAATTCTAGTAAACTAGGGATTTAGAAACAAGGCATTGATGCATCTATTTGTTTGAAGTAGTGAATAAATTCAGTGTATGTAGCACTGAATTTAAGTCAGTTTTCAGTGCATAAATCAGTCAGTACAACCCTGCAGAATTGCCAAAGAACATTTTCCAGAGCTCTAATAAAATTAATTTTCAAAGTCAATTCTGTTTTCCTGAACAGCATGTTCCCTTAAACGAAAATGTCATCTAAGAACAATCTAGTTATATTTGTTGAGAATGAGGCTCTCATGCTGCTGGCTCGTGGGTGAAGAGATGTTGGTAGTTCAAGGAATGGATTACATTGAATGGAATTTTAACTTGGCATACCAAGAGGTTACTAAGGTTCATGTGCTTGCCTTGCACCTCTTAAATAGTTCAAGTACTTATGCAAAATAAATAGAGTCTAAAGGAGCCTTTAAAAAAACTTGTATGTTTAATGACTAATTAATGTCTAACGTCACTTAAATTCAGAGGATGAAATTCTAGTTAACGTTTCAGGAACTTGTGAACAAGTCTATGTGTGCCATAAATTACAGAGTGGTAAAAGTGAAAGAAGTTTTGTGCATTGTACTATTGATCTGTTGGATTAAGAAAAGCATTACATTTAGTCTGTTTGGGTTTAGTTCTTTAAGGGAAAAAATATGCATCATGAAATTGATGTGTCTTCCTTAGAGCTCTGAGTAATGTAAAATGTTAGAGTAAAGCATGTTACCATTTAAAAAAAACAAAAAACCTGTGACAAATAGGAATAAATAACATTTGTGTGAAATGTGCTTTGTTTCCACAGACAGGAGGTGTTCTGTCTCTAATAGAGTGCACACTGGTCGAGGAGACAGAAGCGAGTGATGATGATTGTAAGTTAAATTCAGCTGTCAGTAGTAAGTACAGTTTCTAGTTTCCTAAAATTAGTACCTTTTCTTTTTTTTTTTTAATAAGAGCAAATAGATATGTTTTTGTGAATCCAGTAGAATATAGTGTAAAACTGATTCAGTAGAATGGCTGAATAATGAACGTACTGGCTGGGGTGGGGGATTGTTTTCTTGTATTTGTTCCTGCTGTTAACACCCCTTACTGGATTTTCACGAGGGCTGGCTGGGGAAATGTGACAAATTTTGACTCGCTTTTGTATTCAAGTTCACCCAGAGCATCTTGGAAAAAAAAAAGGAAAAAGGAAAAAATCCTTAAATAAGCAGCAGATAAATTAGTTTTCTGAAATACGTGGGGGTTGAGTGATGTGGAAGAATTAATAGGAAGTTTTTTGTCTTGAGGTCCCCACAAATCTGGACTGTGAGCTTGTTCAAATGGAATTGCAAAATACAATCTCAGACTGATTTTACTGCTACTTATTTTGGCTTCCGTCCTGCAGTTTGTCAAGTTTTGCACTTGAATTGTGAAAGTAGTTTCATTAATTTGAGTGATACTTGTAGGACGATGAGGATGTGTTAACATACAAATGTTATAAGAAACTTTATCCTGAAGAGCAAATCCCAGCATTTTTGTGCTTGGCATATGTGAACAACAAAACAAGTTGGGGTTTGCTGTGTATCATGAAGATGTTTTAAAGCAATTTCCATTGTAAATGAAACCACTCTTTCCTCTGTCTTATCCTCTGAGGTTTCACTTTGTGACTTTTTTTCCTCCCCCTCTGGCTGTAAAGCAAAAGGTTCTGGGCAGGTGTTTGGGCACCTGGATTTCAAGCTGGTGGTGGAGCCCACGGATGCTCCTCCTTTCACTGTTGTCCTCTTGGCCCCATCCCGGCAGGAGAAAGCTGCGTGGACCAGTGACATCAGCCAGGTACCTCGCTGCTTTTCTCACCTGCATTTACTGAGCTGCTCCTGCCCTCTGTGCCTCTGAAAGCCAGCCTGGCACGGGGCTGCTGTG